GCCTTTTTTACTTCAGTTTGCCAGCGGGTGTGTGTGAGCTTGCCAGAGACAAAAGACAGGGAGAGAGAGAGAGAAATTATCCCCCACTGGGGCCTGGTTATGCCACACCCCCTCCTCCCCATCCTGTTAGGATTTACGGGATTTACGACATGTACCCACACATGCTTTGTGTTTTTCTTTTCTTTTCTTTTTTTTGGAGAGGTTTTTGTGCGCTTGCCAGACAGACAGTCTCCCCATCCTGTTAGGATTTACGACATGTACCCACACATGCTTCGTGTTTTTCTTTTCTTTTCTTTTTTTTGGAGAGGTTTTTGTGCGCTTGCCAGACAGACAGAGAGAGACAGAGAGACAGAAAGCGAGAAATCTCCTCTTGGGATCTTGGGCACACACTCGCGCCCGGTGTAAGTTTAAGCCACCGGGTCTGGGACGCGAACCACGGTCGACTATGTGGGAGTCCAGTGACATAGCCATTACGCTAACTGCTGGTTCCCCCAGCACGCTATCTTATTTAAGCCTGTCTCTAACCCTGAGGCCATCACTCTTCTCTCTCCACTGCAGCCTTACTTTAAGGCTGTTGTTACTATAGCTACCGCTGACTGAGCTTAGTACCTGCTGAGTGCTAACCCTCAGGGCAATTCCACACCTCAGGTGCAGTCACCTCAGCTACATGGCCAAGGTGGTTTTTTAAAAAGAATTATTTACTTAATTAAATTAATTAACTATTATTATTTTCAACTTGACCAGAGAGAGAGAGAGAAAGGGAAAGTGAGAAAGCAAGCAAAGACCAGGACTCGAACCGCAGTCGACCATGTGGGAGTCCAGCGCCCTAGCAACCACGCCACCTGCCAGCCTCCAAGTGGTGTTAAAACACTGAAACACTCCCACAGTGTCCAGGGAAGAGCTGCCCTGAGTCCCCCAGGTACTTCCTACCCCGTCTCTCCCGTTGCCCAGCTTTTCTCCCGGCTACTCTCACAGACGTGTCCTCCTCAAATCCGGAAACCAATGGGTTAACGCTGGGCACAGCAGGAGCCTCACTCTAGGGCAAGGCCAGAGTCCTGACCGGTTGGTGCCCAGACTGTGCCTACTGTCACGCGCTTTGGCTGTCAGCGGGTGTAAGTGTTATGGTTCCCAGTTTGCAGGCGAGAAGCTCACAGAAGCTCAGAAAATACGCAGCTTGCTCAAGACCATCGACCTAGAAAGCGTCAGAGAGAGAATTCAAGGCTAGGTCTCTGTCAGGGTAAAATTCCTGCTCTTACCTTGTGCAGTGTTTGAGTTAACTAGAGAAACGGAGAAAGCCAGCACCCAGCCCCCAGCGCCCAGCACCCAGCACCCAGCACCCACCGCCCACTGCCCAGTCCCCAGTGACCAGCGCCCACCGCCCAGTGCCCAAGCGCCCAGCCCCCATCCCCAGCCCCCAGCACCCAATGCTGTGACTTCTCAGGCTCAATGTGAATAGGTTGGAATTCTGTACTCCACAGTGGTTTGGAAGTTTCATGGTATTTTTTTTTTTTGGAGAGATTTTTGCTATAGGGCGCGTGCACTCACCAGACAGACAGAGAGAGACATAGAGACAGAAAGCGAGAAATCATCCCCCAGGGGGGATGGTCACGCCGCAATCCCTTCTCCTCTATTCTCCTCTCAGGATCTTGGGCACGCACGCATATGTGCCCGGCGTGAGTTTTAAGTCACCGGGTCCGGGACGCGAACCGCGGTCGACTACGTGGGAGTCCAGCGACATAGCCATTACGCTAACTGCTGGTTCCAGTTTCATGGTATTTTTAATCCTCACCTTAAGCTGTAAGAACGTTGCTCTTCTAACTGGTTCCCAGCCATAATAATGAGCATGCAAGCACCAGGTTGATGAGGGGTATTACTTTGCATTATTCTGCCAACACCCTGCGGGCACTAATTCAGCCATTGTTGTGTTTTGTGATACTCTCTGTATATGTAGAAATTCTATTATTCATGTTATGGCTGTGGTTTCGAATTGCAACCCTAGTATTCAGCCTGGCCATTAAACACCCTGAGAATGGCGAGTTACAAAAATCAAGCACCAGGTTGATGAGGGGTATTACTTTGCATTATTCTGCCAACACCCTGCGGGTACTAATTCAGCCATTGCTGTTTTGTGATACTCTCTGTATATGTAGAAATTCTATTATTCATGTTATGGCTGTGGTTTCGAATTGCAACCCTAGTATTCAGCCTGGCCATTAAACACCCTGAGAATGGCGAGTTACAAAAATAACATCCTATGGGCCTTTTTTTTTTTTTTTTTAGGCTTTTGCTATAGGGCGCGTGTGCTTGCCAGACAGACAGAAAAAGACAGAGAGATAGAAAGCGAGAAATCACCCCCCAAGGGGGATGG